AGATTAATGAGAAAAGTGAAAGATTTGGGTTACATCAGGGGGTTCAGTGTTGGCAGAGATGTTGAACATCATATGCCGATCTCCCATTTGTTGTTCGCGGATGATACTTTGGTTTTTTGTGATGCTGAAGTTTCTCAACTCAGATATCTGAGGTGCATTCTTGCTTGCTTTCAAGCGGTTTCTGGGTTACAGATTAATGTTGGAAAGAGTGTGCTTGTCCCAGTGGGGGATGTTCTAGATATTTCTTCTTTAGCTGCTGTACTAGGGTGTGGAGTTGGTGTTTTTCCTTTTACTTACTTAGGATTGCCTTTGGGAGTCTCTTCTACATGAGTTGGGAATTGGGATCCAGTGATTAGTAGATATGAGAAAAGATTAGCAGGATGGAAAAAGCATTATTTATCTAAGGGGGGGAAAGTCACACTTATTAAGAGCACTCTCTCATCCCTTTCTACCTACTTTTTATCTTTATTTCAAATCCCATGCTCTGTGGCTGAAAGGATTGAAAAAATTCAGAGGGATTTTCTATGGGGTGGAAGGGGAGAGGAATTTAAGTATCATCTTGTTAATTGGGATTATGTCTGCCAGCCGTTGAGGTTAGGCGGGCTAGGCATTCGAAAAATCGTTCCTTTTAATCGTGCTCTCTTGGGAAAATGGTGATGGAGATTCGGAAAGGAACGCCATCGACAATGGAGAAGAGTTGTCTCGTGTCGTTTTGGTGAGGGGAGTGGGGGCTGGTCATCTCTTCTAGTCATTATTATGGGAGGCGTTGGTGTGTGGAAATTCATTCAGAAGGGTTGGGATGTTTTCTCCACACACATTAAATTCAAAGTTCGTGATGGCAGACATGTCCGTTTTTGGGAGGACCTTTGGTGCGGAGATCAGTTGTTGTCTCACTCCTTTCCTAGACTTTACAGTATTGCAGCCAATAAACATGTCTACGTGATTGATTGTTATCAACTTGATAACACTGGAGTTACGTGGGATGTGTGGTTTAGGCGCCCTTTTTCAGGATTGGGAAATGGAGGAAGCTTGTGTTTTTTTGGATACGTTGTATAGGCAGAAGGATATTGGCAGAGGGTGTGATGATATTTTGTGGGTTCCTTTAGCTTATGGTAGGTATGCTGTCCGATCCATGTTCTTGTGTTTGTCCAATTTCGTTGGTCACGAGTTTCCTTGGAAGTCTGTTTGGCGTTCTAAAGCTCCTCTTTGAATCGCATTCTTCGTTACTGCCATATTGGGAAAGATTTTGACATTGAACAATTTGAGAAAGAGAGGCAACATCATTGTTAATTGGTGTTGTTTATGTAAAGCTGATTGTGAATCCGTGGATCATATTCTTTTGCATTGTCCTGTGGCGTATGATTGTTGGAGTTTTATTTTTTGCATGTTGGAGTTTTATTTTTTGGGAAATGCCTAAGCACTCTTCACAGTCGATTAACGCTTGGAGAAGGTGCCTTGTTAAAGAACAAGCTCGTGATTATTGGAAGATTGTTCCACATTGTGTCTTGTGGTGTTTGTGGCGTGAGTGAAATAATAGATCCTTTGAAGAAAAAGAATCGTCTTTAGCTAATTTAAAAATTCATATTCTTCGTTCTGTTATGTAAGAGGAAATGCATGCTCCTCGATTGATGATTTCTTTTATCTTTTGGATTCTATTGGTCCTTAGATCTTTTTTCTTCTTGTATTAGGGATGCGTTCCCTTTTTGAACGCTTTTCTAATATATTTTTACTTATAAAAAAAAAAAAAAAAAACTTGGATGTAAAGCCTACATCCTGTTAATAAATGACTACTTGTTCGTAGATATTGTTGATTCCTCCTGATGCTCGTTGTTTCTAGAATTCTTTTTGTGCAAGTCCATTGCATAGCTCCATAGAGTTAAATGTTCCAAAATACTAGACCCTGTATTCGCTGTAGATAATGAGACCAAACTTCGAACGACCCACTTGTCTCTTTAGTTATGAACTTATGATATACCAAGTTGTTCTTAAACATAACTATGTAAGAATCGCTTAAATATGATTTAGTTCCTGTGTCTGAAATCCAAATACCACTGCATAAAATTCGTGATTGTTGTACGACATCAGAAAAAGGGTCTTTTGTTTGACATAATTATGGTTCACCAATTCACTTGGACATGGTGCTCTTCAAGTTATGTGATTCTTATAATAAATCCTGTATTTATAGATACCTGATGTTTTATGTCTCAGGATGCTTCTTTTGCTGATGTGATTAATGATTCTGCCAAAGAGTTGGTACTTGGTGACCCGGCAGCCAGCTTCGGAGAATGCATCATTGAATTTTGAACTGTACGCTACTAACCCTTTCTCGCGATTATAAAATTGTCCATTTTCACTGTTATTTAACTGTGCTTTTTACATGTTTTATTAGTTGAAATTCTTATCAGCTTAATAGACTCTCTCACTTAACAGATTAGTCACCCCCATTTCATCAGATTGATTTCTTGCATTCCCAACTGCATTTTCATCCTGCTTGTGATTTTTGGGAGAATCTGTTTGGAACATTATCGTATGGATCGTGCCATCTGCTTCATCTCCCTGTAATTGAAGAATGGGGCTGTTTATTCAGTGTATAGATTAACTTGAGGAAGCCATGCACAATAATTATTTGAGAAAAAGCAACGTACTTTGATGGATGTGTACAGTTTATGACAGTCCACTCCAATTGGTGTGTTCGATAAACACTGAAAAGCCGATTCGCTTATGTAACTGTATTTATATAGGAATGATTTCCTTCTCATACTTGACTCCCCAAAATTAAGTGCAGAACTCGTACAAATGTTGTGTATAGTTTCTTCTGTTCTTGTTTGGTGTATCATCATTCCATTGACAAGTAGAAAATTTAAAAGGTTATTTGTTTGATTGTGGTCCGTTGCGTAATCTTCTCTCTTCCATTTTTCATTTTCTTTATTTTGTTACACACAGCAATTAAATATTGTTATAATGCGAGTGCTTGCTTATGATGTTTCAATTGATAATACTCATTTCTTTATAATAATTGTAGATGTTTTTGTGATTTGGTGTATTTGTGCATCGAACTCTTTAAAGTTTTCATATAATTGTATTTTAAGTGCCCGAAATGCAATTTTAGGTTCTTTTAACCTAAAAAATGTATCACCATTTATAGAATCTTAGGAAGAGATAAATTTGTTAAAGAAGTAAGACGTGAGTGTGTATGATATGCATGTAACTAGTCTAGTTTTAGAACTGAATCTGTTGTGGCATCACATAGTGTTGGTGTAACAGTGTCAGTCTAGTGTTATGACAAGGGACGTCATGTCACTTGGCTGTTGTGGCACGGATATCAGACAGTGCATGAAGTGGTGTTCTTTTCGATCCTAAGTCTTTTTCCTATTTTCGAATATAATTTTGAGTATTGATTTACCAATGGGTTGGATATGGATTTTCTTTAAAAGATCTGCCTTGATCGGGGTCGGATCTCGTGTATTTGATCCCAACTGAGTTCGTTTTATGTAAGGATCTGGATTTTATATCAAATTGTGTACATAAAATTTGACTTAAAAACCTCAATGTTATATAAAAATTATGCAGAACATTTACTATTTAGTACATATATATAAATTCTTTTAACATTTGAAAATATGTACAAATTGTTCCATAATATCTTGTGACTGTCAGTTTTATTTATTTTTTTTAATTTATAAAAACCCAAAAATACATTAAAAACTGAAATCAATATTTTTTATTTTTAAATTGTCTTAAGGGTATTTTTTTTTTGTTGAACACCAAAAAATATTTATACATTCACTATATAACAGAGTTTTTTTGTTTTTTAACACTTTATCCTATAAATATTGACACTGAAAGTATGCATAGAACAACAAATGTCCACATAGCATCTCATTTCCTTAATGAGATGCTTTACCACCTCAACCATGCATCTAATTTTTGGTTTGTTCAAATAAAGTCATATTTAAATATTGAATCCAATATAGGAGGACATATGGGTGGTGAGTGACATCAACCCTGTCCCTTCAATATATCTAGAAAATGGACTTAGTTTATGGAATCAATTTACATTCTTGTCCCTCTCGAATCGTATCCCTTTTCCTTCCTAGGAGAAAGAAGTCGATTTCCCAATTCCCAAATGGGAGTTTGTTTGGCATCATTTTCCCCAACAAACACCAATTTTTTTTGATCATATGGCAAAGTTCCCAAGTAGAACAATTTGCGTCAGTTTCTGCTCTAATAAATATATAAGGCATAGCTCATCTCACATTTTGATATGATTCGTTTGGCATCAATTTATTTTCCCCCCAAACCACCACTTATGGGGAATCCTAACTATTGACAACCAAAAGATACACAAAATCATGGGAATAATAGTAAAGTAAATTCGTGTACGCGTATATTAGCTTTTCTTTCTTCCTCAGCAGCCTTGCTTTCCCTTCCAATTAGAATCTCTCGGCCTAAATTCATTCCCTCGTGTCTCATGGGGGCACCATGTTAATCTATGACAGCTATATCTGATCGATGATTTCAGAGTCAATTGTCAACCGAAAATGAGAAGAGCGTACATAAGTTCCATGAAGGTCAAACCAGCGAGAATGCTGGGTCGGTGATTGGGAAAGACGACCCGTTGCAGAAAAAAAAAAAAATAGATATGATCAATTTGATCATAACTAGTTAGACGCTTTATCAACTATACCACTGAATAAAGCCCGAATAATGTGCTTGTCAATTGTGAATAATATTTCAAAAAAAATGGTGATTCCTTACGTTATGACAATACGTAATTTATATGCTTATTGCATAAATTTGAGTATCTCTCACCGTAATGAAAGCAATCGTCCAATTTGGCAACTCAACCAGAAGATTTGCTTCATGCAACCAAATAATATCCACTAAATTGGTGGAGACCACAACACACTCTCTTCCAAGAATATCAGACAGATTCTTACAAATAGTAGTAGTTAGGGAGAATACATGTGCCAAACTTCTCATGTTATAAATATTGCCCACCCATGCATTCACTTTGTATTCAAGCTCAAGTTGCTAGCTACCTAAGTATCATATAGTAATATATATCTTGATTTTATTCTATACATATATCCAAGTTTTGAGGGACAAAACTTGACAAACAGAGAGAATGTGGGGGAAGAAGTTGAACTCCATTGTAAAGTCACCTTGCTCTGACTCGGAGTGTTTGCCTCAACATCATCATCATCGCAACCAAGTTGCAAATGAGAACTTGGCTGTTGTGCAGTGGGTGAGCTGCGACGTCTGCGTAGAGGAAAACAAGGCATGTAAGTGCCAAAACAACCATGCTCATGAGGACTTGAAGACTACTGCTGCAGTTAATGTGGTAGATGTTGAGGCCAACAGTTCCTTTGCTCATGCAGTCCTCAACATGGTGGGAATGCTTATAGGTACGTAATTGAACTTTTCTTCAACAAGTATTACCTAGCTTCTTCTATTTCTATGTCAAACTTATTGTAACACACGTCCCACATCGTCTGGGAGAGAGGTTATTGACACTTATGTGTGTAGATGACACGTTTTGAAAATCGTGAGTACGGAGAGTACGTGCAAAATAAACAATATCTATACAGCGATGGGATTCTAGACATTAATTTGTTTTGTTGCTGCATGTTACTCTTCCATGATAAATGTTTCTGACTAGTTTACACATTGTTTAATTGACAGGATTGGGACAATTATCAACTCCATATGCTTTAGAAAATGGAGGGTGGGCTTCTGCATTCCTGCTTGTAGGACTTGGTGTGATATGTGCATATGGTTCTCATCTCCTTGGCAAATGCCTTGACATGAACCCTAAGTCCAGAAACTACTCCGATATCGGGCATAACGCATTTGGCACCAAAGGAAGAGTCATAGCTACAACTTTCATCTACTTGGAAATCTTCATGGCCCTTGTTTCCTACACCATCTCTCTCCATGACAACTTGACCACAGTTTTTATTGGCACACACTTCAACTTGTCATGGACTAACCTCTCCACATCTCAGCTCCTGACCGTGATGGCGGTCCTGGTTGCACTTCCTAGTCTTTGGCTGAGGGATCTTTCTTCCATATCTTTACTTTCAACCGGTGGTATTTTCATGTCACTCCTTATTTTTGCAACAGTGGCATGCACAGCCATTTTCGGAGGTGTCAAACCTAACCAACCCATCCCAGTTCTTCATCTCGAAAACATTCCTGCTATATCAGGACTATACATATTCAGCTTTGCTGGTCATATTGTTTTTCCCAATTTGTACAAGGCCATGAAAGACCCCTCCAAGTTCACCAAAGTGTCCATTGTGAGCTTCTCATTGGTCACATTTCTCTACACATCCTTAGCCTTCATGGGCGCGAAGATGTTTGGGCCTCAAGTGAGTGCTCAGTTCACCCTGAGCATGCCAAGGAATCAGATTATCACAAAGATTGCACTATGGGCAACAGTGTTGACACCCATGACAAAGTATGCCCTAGAATTCGCGCCATTCGCGATGCAGCTGGATAAGGGGCTCTCTGATCATTCCATCAAGATGAAGTCAAGGACAAGGGTGATCATAAGGGGCTGTGTTGGTTCAATTCTACTCCTGGTGATACTGACATTGGCTCTTTCTGTTCCGTATTTCGAACATGTTCTTAGCCTTACAGGATCGCTTGTCAGTGTGGGAATTTGCATGATTTTCCCTTGTACTTTTTACATGAAGATATTTTGGAGGCAACTATCAAGACCTGAATTGATTCTTAATCTGCTGCTTGTCACCCTCGGCTTTCTTCTTGCGGTGTCCGGGACCATTTCTTCTTCCAAGTCACTTATAAGAAGCTTACAGAGAGCTCACTCAACTTGATGACAAAATCCTAGAGATGGAGTACTCTTGAATTTTTACTCTCTCTACATATATATATATATATATATATATATATATATATATATGAGAAGTACCTAAACCTTAGGTTGCCTGCAGAGGAGCAAGGTTTAATTATGCTCGATCGGATATGTTATATAAGTAACTGCCTTTTGTATATTGTGGTAATGTATAAATGAAGGTGATTACTGGATGCACCTATGGAAAGTGACTTCAATAAATATATTTCTCAAACATATATGTGGAGATTTTTCCTTTAATAAGTTTTGCTTGTTTTGGTTTCCATGAATTTTTATAAAGAAATGTTGGAGCTTTTTTCCAGATTGTGTCACGCTTTACCTGTCATAATCGTGTTAGAACAAAATTGAAAAAGAAAGTCTATGGTAGGTTAATTCCAAATTAAAGACTGAATTCGGCTTCAGTACTAATTATAATGGATTGAGTATTTTATAATTTAATTTAAAAGCTTAAACTATTAGGTATGTTAACCTCCAATTCATATATATCCAATCATCTTTAATCTGGATCGTAAGACAAAACTCCCGGTAACATTTAGCCTTTTTTTTTTCTTTTTGGGTACATATTTATTTGCTTGGGCCAATCCTTTTGTATATCCCCATGTGATAGGATGTTTGGATGGGTTTGGTCCTGGACCATACTTGTGGGCCTCCGTTGCCAGCCTTTCGGCCTGTTAGGCCCAAAAATAGAAAAGAAAAAGGATTGATTTGAAATGAAGCTTTCTTTAGATAAAGCGTAAGTATACGGTCAGTTAAGCATCGGCCAATACCACAATGAGTAGTGTAGTAATTTCTGGTTTAATTTGTTACTTTTACGCAATTCATGTGATAGCAGCTTCAAACAATTGGTCATCTCAGACTTCTACGCTCAAGTATAATCTCTTATTTGGCACCGATATTTCTCGTAGGATTTTCTCAAACTTTAAGTTAATAATTGCTCTCATAACTTTATCTTCGCGTTGACATTATTTATATTTTTTTGTTAAAATTTTAAAAATATTTGTTATTTATAAAATTACTTATAATTTTTGTTAAAATTTTGAAAATACCTCCATCCAATTTTTTATAATACTCCGCTATATATTTTTGTTATTGAATTTCACATCCCCTATTGGATCCTTTAAGTTAAATTTTTTTTAAGTTATCATAAGTTAAATTTTCTACATAATGACATACGTCATTTAGATATATTAGACAAAAAATTTTACGAAGACATAAACATCTCTTTCTTATAAGATCTCTTCTCTTTTCCCAAAAAAAGATTGCTCCTTATCTCTCTTTTCTGAAATAATAGAATTGGGTTAAATGAAAGAGGTGATTTGATCGATTAAAGAAACATGAATAATAGGTTTTCAATTTAATAGTCTGATTAAATGATTTTTGTAAAATTTAAGTTTTGAACATAGTTTCCCATGACATGATTTGCACCCCCATAGGATCAATAAACCCTTTGGATCCCACAACTACAGGAATGTTCTTCATTATTTAGAAATACTAAATCTTTGGTTTTTTTTTTATTTTTTATTTTGCAGATTCAGATTTAAACTGAAGTATAAATGGTTGAATAGAAAGGCATTCAATTAAGTGTAACTATTGGCTAAGTAATATTGATTATGCAATCAATAACTCTTAATCATTTCATAAATCAAGCCTATCAGAAAATAAATAGAGTTATCTCTTATTGCAGAGGAGAGAGAGGAGTTAATGTCGTGCAGTTTTTTTAACTTTTATTAAATTAGCTGAAATGATTTAACATAAGTTATAAATATATCTTAAATGACACGTCATTCTGTAAAAAATTCAACTTAGGATAATTTAAAGAAGTTTTAACTTAGAGATCGAAGTCTCTCATAAATTTTTTTGGATTTGTCAATCACTAAGAACATCTCCAGCGGTCTGTTAAAATATTCTTTTTGTGAATTTTACACAACTTTTTTACATAGCCACACCATATTTTCTTTCTCCTCCCTCTTTCTCATTCTATTAACAAATTACCCCTATATTAAGTTGGTTTGTAAAAATTATGTGTTATATTAAGTAAGTTTGTAAAAATTATTTGAGGTTTAGGCATGATAATGGTTGGTTGTTATTGAATGATATATTTTTATACAAAAGGTATGAAACAACGCATTGGAACTAAAAATAAATAATCTAAAATTTTTATATAAATCTATTATGACACATCAAATTTACAAAAAAAAAGAAGAAGAAGAAGTTAGAGTTGTTCTAAAGACAATAAGCGTACGTGTGAGTTGCTTTCTATCAATATGTATGCATATATTTCAGTTTAACTTCCAAAAAAAAAAAATATATGTATGTATATATTTATATAAATAGAGAGATAAAATATTGGTTAGATAAGTCTCGTGTGAGTTGCTTGCTATCAATATGTATGTATATATTTCAGCTTAACTTCCCAAAAAAAAAATATGTATGTATATATTTATATAAATAGAGAGATAAAATATTGGTTAGATAAGTCTCATATAACCACACTTCTATTATCCTTCTGCCTCCCCCACACTATTCCTCCAAAAACTCTAGATGGGGGATCAAATTCTGTGGCATTAGTATTCAAGTAGCATGAAAAAAGAGCTAACTTAATTCATTGGTGTTTTATTCCAATTGGCTTCTCATAAATATTGGTGATATATGCATACACTTTCCATATATAAACATATTTTGAAACTGTAGCCATTACTGCCGATTATGGAAATGGAATGAATACATTAGGTGGATTGCATATTCACCTAATGTATTCTTGTTGGACGGTGTTAATATTCCAAATGTCATGCATATATATTCTCCATTTTCAATACCCAATCTTGAAAGAAATATTGAACATTCCCTTTTAGCTTTACTTCCTACTTTCTGCGCATCAAATCAAAGTGTGTGTGTGTATGATGACATACTCCTGGAAGGACAGCTGTGTTTCCTCTCCAGTTTCTATGCACTGACCTAAGGAGGAATCTATGCCTCTCCAAAATACATAAGTACCAATTCCTTCCACATTTGTACGTTGTTGGATTTACTTTTGTATTACCCACTATTCAGGAACATACATAAATTGTCAATTCACATAGAATAGGTATTGGATACCCGAACCCATTAAGGAGGACTTCTGATTTCATATTATCAAGAAAAATGGGCAGTTTTAATTGGATTGAGGCTAATATGAAGTAGGTATTACAGGGTTTAAATATTTTTTCCAACAAGCAACCATCACCACCCTTAAGCTAATTACTCAGTACATGTGAGACTTCACGTTTTTGTAGTAGTTTATGAGGTATTGTAACTTCTAGGAGGCCGTACATTACCATCATCAAAAAGAAAAAGGGTCAACTTTGTTTAATCAAAGCAGTTAGTGGCAAGAAATGTATGAATCCCGGGAAATTCTAGAAATGTATGAAGCAAATCTTCTGGTCGAGTTGCCAAATTTGACAATTGCTTTCATTACACTGAAAGATACTGAAATTTATGCAATAAGCATATAAATTACGTATTGTCATAACGTAAGGAATCACTGTTTTTAGTCACAACAATATCAGACAGATTCTCACAAATAGTAGTAGTTAGGGAGAGTACATTTGTGCCACACTTCTCATGTTATAAATATAGCCCACCCATGCATTCACTTTGTATACAAGCTTAAGTTGCTAGCTACCTAAGTATCATATAGTAATATATATCTTGATTTTATTCTATAGATATATCCAAGTTTTGAGGAACAAAACTTGACAAACACAGAGAATGTGGGGGAAGAAGTTGAAGTCTATTGTAAAGTCACCTTGCTCTGACTCAGAGTGTTTGCCTCATCATCGCAACCAAGTTGCAAATGAGAACTTGGCTGTCGTGCAGTGGGTGAGCTGTGACGTCTGCGTAGAGGAAAACAAGGCATGTAAGTGCCAAAACAACCATGCTCATGAGGATATGAACACTTCTACTGCAGTTAATGAGGTAGATGTTGAGGCCAACAGTTCCTTTGCTCATGCAGTCATCAACATGGTGGGAATGCTTATAGGTAAGTAATTGAACTTTTCTTCAACAAGTATTACCTAGCTTCTTCTATTTCTATGTCGAACTTATTGTGACACACGTCCCACATCGTATGGGAGAGAGGTTGTTGACACTTATGTGTGTAGATGACACGTTTTGAAAATCTTCAGTACGAAAAATACGTGCAAAATAGACAATATCTATACAGTGATGGGATTCTAGACATTAATTTGTTTTTGTTGTTGCATGTTACTCTTCTATGATAAATGTTTCTGACTAGTTTACACATTGTTTAATTGACAGGATTGGGACAATTATCAACTCCATATGCTTTAGAAAATGGAGGGTGGGCTTCTGCATTCCTGCTTGTAGGACTTGGTGTGATATGTGCATATGGTTCTCATCTCCTTGGCAAATGCCTTGACATGAACCCTAAGTCCAGAAACTACTCCGATATCGGGCATAACGCATTTGGCACCAAAGGAAGAGTCATAGCTACAACTTTCATCTACTTGGAAATCTTCATGGCCCTTGTTTCCTACACCATCTCTCTCCATGACAACTTGACCACAGTTTTTATGGGCACACACTTCAACTTGTCATGGACTAACCTCTCCACATCTCAGCTCCTGACCGTGATGGCGGTCCTGGTTGCACTTCCTAGTCTTTGGCTGAGGGATCTTTCTTCCATATCTTTTCTTTCAACCGGTGGTATTTTCATGTCACTCCTTATTTTTGCAACAGTGGCATGCACAGCCATTTTCGGAGGTGTCAAACCTAACCAACCCATCCCAGTTCTTCATCTCGAAAACATTCCTGCTATATCAGGACTATACATATTCAGCTTTGCTGGTCATATTGTTTTTCCCAATTTGTACAAGGCCATGAAAGACCCCTCCAAGTTCACCAAAGTGTCCATTGTGAGCTTCTCATTGGTCACATTTCTCTACACATCCTTAGCCTTCATGGGCGCGAAGATGTTTGGGCCTCAAGTGAGTGCTCAGTTCACCCTGAGCATGCCAAGGAATCAGATTATCACAAAGATTGCACTATGGGCAACAGT